GAGGTGCAAAGAGTGAGAGAGTGACACAGAGAGACAGTAACAGAGCATATTATATTCAGTCAGACAAGCATTAATGGTGGAGTCTGATTCTGCTCTACCTGTCTGTCTCTCTGTGTGTCTGTGTCAGTGTGTGACGGGAGGCAGAAACAAGCTGAGCACCACACGCAAGGGAACATCTGATCGCTGCCCCAGCTGTGCCTCCAGCCCTGTATTATTCTAGTGACCCAACCTGAAATAGCACCGCCGTGGCAGTTCATTTATTATAGTCAAGCGTCCTGTTTCTGTCTGTGTGCGAGTGTGACACACACACACATGCACACACACGTAGGAGGAGGTGTTTCCCACCCCTTTAAATACAAGCGTCAGGATTCCCTGTTCTATTTTGAGCTGCGCTCTGACCTGCTCTCTGTGCCCGGACTCTGCTTTTGATTTTTGTTCTTGTCCCACAAGCAGATCCTCTCACAGATTCCTCCTCAATGAGAGTGTTGGCTCGTTCGGGGTCGCCTGCTGGGTTTCGGAGCAGAGGTGGGCCACCTCACCTGAAACAAAGACCCCCTCCGCTAACATCATAAACCCGAGTATGTTTTGGTCAAATCTTATAGGAAGGGCAGAGGTGCTTTTCAATTGTCATATTTATTGAGTAAGGCTATTTTTAGGCTATCATCTCCTAATTAAAGTGATCATGGGAAGTCAAGTTTGCTAGGGATACTGATAGAAAGACTGCAAAATACATGTTTCATAACAAAAATCTAAATAATCAGTGCTATTTTTGCAACATCTATGAGATTAGATATTAGATGAGAGGATCAATACCACTCTCATACAGTATCTGTCCATTTAATTTGTAGCTACAGCCAGGACGATGAGTTTAGCTTAGCATCAAGAACGGAAATGGGGAAAACACCAAGCCTGTTTATCCAAAATGTAACACAATCTTTCAACCTTCTCTAAAGCTCACTGATTAAAGCTTAAAAACGATGAAACTGAATTATGTGCCGGACTATTCAGGAACGCTGACTTCTACTGAGGTTACTGGCCGGGAGATAATGCGGCACATAACCACCAGTCAAACAACAACTTGTTGTTTTCACACTCTGGTTTTTGCCTATGTATTAAATTGCCAAAATATTCAATGAATTGATTAACTGTTAACCACAGAATAAAAAAAAAAAAGAAGAAGCCAATTACAGTTCCCCAGAGCCCAAGGTGACATCATCACACAGCTTGTGTTGTCTGACCAACAGCAGCAACACACAATCTTTTAATTTACCATCATTTGAAACAGAGAAGCAGCAAGTCTTCACATCTGAGAAGCTGGAAACAGTGGATGTGCATTTTCGCCTGATATCATCTAAACAATGTACATTCATCAAAGCTTTCCATCGATGGACTAATTGATTAATAGACTAATTGTTTCTGCATTAATATTTTAAATATAGCGCATTATGCTTTGTAATATATGTCCGTATGTGTGTTTTCCATGATAAGACAAAGAATATTACACAACCCTCTCCCTCTCTCACTCTCTCTCTGGGAGTCCCTGCAGGCTCGTGGCTTAAGCGTTCCAGTGATTTGTTTAATGGAGTGCCAAAGTGCAGTTGGTCATGCTTCCTGTCAGCACAGATACACAGTGACACACGGGATATGCTTGGGTTCATCTCAGGAAGGCCTGGACTGTGTGGAACCGCCGCGGGAATAACAACCTGATTCCCAGCGAAAATATTTACAACACAACTGCAGTGAGTTCGCAGAAAGTGTAATTATCCATATTGATGAAGGGTTGGCGGCGCGATGCATCATCCCGGCTGGCAACAGGTTTGTGTAACATCCGAGGCGAAAAAGAAAATATCCAAATGTACATTTGTTTGCTTTTCTGGCAAAGAAACATGGATGGTCATGCATGCGGGCTACACTACACAGGACAGCTCATGAAAGTTTGTCCCTGTTGTTGATTTGATTTTTTTTCTGGACTGGTGTTCTTTTATGACTCCCATATTGTGTGATAAATCACAGCATCAGAGTGGGGACAGTTTCATGACATCATTCACGCTACATTTCCAACAGTGAGCCAGTTTTTGATTAGGGCTGTAAATCTCCTTCACTTTTCTCTGTCTACCACACACACACACACACACACACACACACACACACTGTGAAACATCCAGAGTAAAGCTTTAATATAGTTTTATCTGTCTACTCAGATCCATATATAACAGTAGTTTCCTTAATGGGTGGGACTGGGTGTAGACTGCACTGCTTGTTATTTTATCTTAAATTATATTTAAACTGGGATTACAACTTTAGCAAAGTACTTTATTTAAACTATTTTCTCCATATCGTTTGTTCTCATTAGGAAACCTGAATGAGAGAGTGAAATATCTGTGAAATGTTGTTATGAAACGTAGCCAAATTAAAGAAAAGCCAGGGTGATGACCCAGTGCAGTGCAGTTAGAAAAAAGTTTTCCCTTACTCATTTTCTGTATCTTACCTAGCATTGTGGGATAGCAGGCTAAAACAATAAAAGCAAGGAAAAGTTGATTTTCTTTTCCACTTTATGAAAATTAAGGCAAAATCCTCCTTGGTTCTCTGTATTGATCTGCTGAAAAACTGATAAAAACAGTCATTCAGTCAAGAGCTAGGAAGTTAAACAGGTGTGGACGAATGGCTGTGGAGGAGAGGATCTATTCTGGAGATCCTTCATTTGTATGCGCCTTACCTCCAAGACCACAAACAAAAAATGAAAGGTGCGGTGTGTAGGATAGGATTAGTGGCATCTAACAGTGATTGGAAATTACAACTCACTCGCTTCACCCTCCCTTTCAAATCATGAGACAAACTACAGTGGCTGCAAACATGTGAAAAACACGAACGGTAGCCTACTGTAGAAACACAGCGGTTCAACATGGTGGCCTCCACAGTAGGTGACCCGAGGCATCTTTAGATAATATGAAAACGGCTTATTCTAAGGCATGACTCTAATTTTCAGATGATTAAACACTAATAAAAACAGACCTATGAATATCATATGCCAATAGATCCTTTAGTCAGTGGCTAATTACCCTATTTAAACAGTGCTTGCTAACAAAGAAGCTGCTAGCTTGTTAGCATGTTTACAGCAAACAAACAAGAATTGGCTGAAGATTGTCATGTGACTTTTCTCACTTCCAATTGGTCGTAACCATTATTAAATAAAAAAAACTAGCTTGTTAATGTCAGTTACATATCTATGTATATCTACCTAATTTAGCTAACATTAGCTAGCAGTGTCAAACATACACTTGTTATGCTAGCAACTGTTGAAATCTGTCAATGGGCCTCTATTATTTGCCTATGTGCTAAAGAAATTGCATGATAAACACAAAGAAAGATATATTTTTCCTTTTTTATTAATCTGTCCACTTATATAGCCTACCTACAAATCTTTATGGCTACATAAATGTATACATCAGTTCCGCTCTTTGGCTGAACTTGACCTCAAGAATGTCAAGTCATGGAAAGTTGAATTTCCATAAAGGGATCAATAATTGTATGTCATTCTTCCCGCATTAAAATCCTATTGCCATAGTATTACCCAAGTAATTTCAGATTATACTGATTATAATAAATGATAACAGGCTATCTGTGGTGAAAGTAACTGGAAACAGAAAAACTCCAAAAATGTATTGGTTCATTAAGAAAAGGTATTCAAGAAAATTGAGTGAGGTTTTCTTTCCAGGCCGCCACTTTAACCGCTCAAAACCAAAATACATCACAACCAACAGCCAAATCTGATCGCTTAGGTCATCTCTTGGACGGAGAGTTTTGTATGCAAGTGTACCAGACAGAAAAATTGAATTAAGTTTGTTACAAAACTTCATGGTTTCCTGGACTGGAGTCATGAAGTCCATAAACACTTTTGTTTTATAACTGAATTATTATTTCCACAGCGTAGAGTTCTCAGCAGTGTTTGAGATTTGCAGCTTTATTAGTCGAAGAGAGAGTGAGCGGCGCTTGACTTATTTCGGGGGGTTGACGCTGTGGTGTTAGAGGATACAGCGCTATGAAATCATTTCATCATTACACTGTCAAGGAGTGTGGAATTTTCCTGCGTCTTTCATGTCGGAGCAATGAGGGACAGAGGAGAGGGAGTTAATGTACGGCCCACGTGAGACACTGGTATTTGGTTAAAACGTACAAAAGTGCAAAAAATGTACACTCACCACATCACGGCCTCAGCCATATGTCTGTGCGTGGAATACATTTACACTCCTCTCGCTATCATTAAAAGTTTCCCCCATGTTACGAAAATGACTGTGAAACTTATAATTCACCTAATTATGGTTATGCCTCCACATTACCCCTGCCCTGTTTTCTCCCTCTCTCATTACTCCTACAAAAACACATAAATCAGAAAAGTATACACCGTACCCCTGCAACACAATGCACTGGGGGATACCCCTTAACTATCCTAACACGTCTCAAATTCAAATTTCTACTGACATTCCAGTTCCCCAATCCTCAGCTCGGGTGTCAGAAAATAACAGTGAGGAACTCTGGCCCTGCTCTCCCCTGCATTATTCCCGGTTTAAAAGGTAAACAGAGCAAGGAGCAGGTGGTTGTGGGGGATTTTTGCAGAGACTTCGATGTAATGTCTGGTGGCAATTAGGTGTAATACAGGATGTCAAAGCCTGCAGCCGCTAGCCTCAGATATCTGCTGCCTAATGTTAGCTTTACAGATTCACTCTGGCATATGGCTTTGACTGCACAGCCCAGGGCCAAATTAGTGAACGCTATTATCTCCTTTCCCTATGTGGCAAAGGGCACAGAGAAAAAGAAGAAAGAAAAAAAAGGGGGGCAAAGCGTACTGAGGGAAAATCTTGCACAACTTGAAGAAATTTATACACTGCCTGAATTAGATTAGGCGCTGGAAATAACTTGTTTTTTGTACAGTAAGAGAGTTTTCTTTGTCATACCTCGGATGCATACTCAGGAATTAGTCATTGTTGTGAACAAAAACATACCTCCGTGCATTGTGGATTGAAGCATCTCTCCCAGGCGTTATCTTAGGGTCAGCAGGGAGAGGCCTCGCGAGGGCGGCAAGGAGATCTCCAACGAAGGGAGAGGCATTGCTTGTGCAGTAACCAGATCTGTGATATCCTTAGGAAGGGTACAATAGTCCAGGCTGGTTGAATGCAACACAGATGGAGAAGGGTGGAATACACAGTTTGACCGTCCTTGAGAAGTGCAGAGGTGGGCAACAAAGTGCTGAGTGGGGAAAAGAAAATAAGGTGTTGGGATATGGTACAGAGGAAGTCAAACAATAAGCAGCAAAGAATATTCTGGTGAAAAAGATCAGCTTATTGTTGGACTGGTTGGATTGTGGCCTGTCTGAATGTGTGCAGACCAGCATCCTACACACCCAAACAATTAGTTGTTTGCTTGATTTGGGATCTGTTGATTTGCTTTTGACCGCACATTGTTTAGATGGAGTGCATACATTTTAACACTGCAGGGTTATGTAAGCAATGTTCTGATATATTAATGAATTAAGTTTGTTTCTTTGACTTTGAGTTACCGTGTTTGTTGGGGGTGGTCCACTTCCTGGTGGAGCAAAAGGTGTGGCTAAGGGCTGAGGGCTCTTAAGTCATGGAGCCCTCTGATTGGGCCAAACCATTTGCTGCCATCTTATGGGGGGGATTTTGGTTTTTTACTTTGTATATAGTTGTGTCCATCTTACCCCTTGTGTGTTATTTGTTATTCTATATATGTTTCTGCATATGCCATTATGTCATGTGAGTTGTCACCTTGTTTGGTTGCTGTTACGTTGTGTATTTTTTTTATTGATTCCTTTTATAGGCCCAGTATAGCCTAAACTCTTGGTTTACTAATTTTCATTTTTTGGGGTGAATAAAAACCATCTTTGTTCTCCTGTTTACTCATTGCCTCACTGCTTGGTCCCTAACATGCACACACAGGATAATATATTGTGAGCACAATAAGATAATAACTTGTAATAGAGTTTTATCAGTACACGTGAACAAATCTTTAAAGACGCAATATGTACAAATTTAAGTTTAAAACATTATCTAAAGTATCAACAGAATGTGAACAAAAAAAATTGCTTTGGCATTAGGTCAGAGACATCTGTATTGTTTTTTGCAGAGATATACTGAAGTTAGCATGTTGTCCTGTCTCGTAATACCACTTTGTACCTCAAGTTTACTCCAACACTCAAATAGTGCTGAGCTCCCAGTCCGGGGAGGCTCAGATAGGACTGCTAAGTAAGCTGCAAGGCTAACTGAGCTAACTAGCTAATGGCAGTAAGCAGCAGTTATGACCTGATGTGTGATATGCTGCATGAATTGGAGCATGAATCTGACAGATTAGTCAATTATTACATATTGCACTTTAAACAATATATTTTTTCAATTGAAGTGACGAATGAATCACCATTATCACTCACTTTTGTGGCAGCTTTAAGCGGTGTTGCTCTTCTTAATGGTGACTGAGAGCACTGTTGTCAGTTCAGCTGTGATACACAGAACCTTTCTTATTAAAAGCATATTGAAAGATCACAAAAGCCACACAAACAACCATAACCTAATAACTCCCATAGACCTCCAGCCGTAGTTTCTGGGAGACCGAAGCCTTCACGTTCAAGTTTTGTGCTTTCTTATTGAAATATTCATCACCACATGAGGATTTTGTACTGTAAATCTATTACTGCCATCAAAGTGGGTGTCCTTGAACATTTTGCCTCCAAATGTAAGTGAACAGTGAAAAACTGCAGCTCCTGCATGCAGAACTTGCATGAGTCATGCTGAAACAGAGCATGCACGCTCTTCAAACCTTCCCTGTATAAATAGGGTTTTAAGAAAAATCAACTATGCAAGCAATGAATCATAGCTAAATTCTCCTTTACTCCCTCCACCTACACTCATCATTTTGTGATATAAATAGTTAGACCACAATTTTCATCAATTTCCATAGATTCTGAACCACAGGTCAAAAGAAAACAGTCAAGCATTGAAGCTTCTGCAACACAGGAAGTGTTGGAACATTAAATCTGACAGGCAGGTTGCGGTCAAACTGTAATCCACAGCTTCACTCCCATCAATATCTTAAGAAACCTCCTCCCTCACAGAATTAGGGATAAAATAGTAATTTAGTGTCCATTTACACACATACACTACTTTGTAGAATAATACATCATGCCGCCTCAGTGGCGGCAGTTTAATGTATTGGTCTAATCAGGATGGCAGGAAACGCTGTGCCTTCATCATCTCTGTATGAAAAACACTATTCACTAATATTACTCTCCACATGTGTGTTTCACTTAAGGTTTTTATACTTAATGGCTATCATATTACATCTGTGCAATGAAGAACGTTAGTGTGTATTGAGAGGGAAAATTTACAAAAAGTTGTCCTTGCTCTCAAATTATCTCCAGGAACTTTTCCTATTATATTTTCCTCTGGATTTTGAATGACCTATATGTCCACAATAAAGAGACATTTGCAAAACATGCAGATTAAGTGTACACATATAGGCATGACTTCCATACTAATCCACACTGTCTGCAGTAAGTGGTTGGGCTTACAAAGGCTCCATAGCTCCAGACAGATGGCAATCTGATCTCAAATAAACACTCCTGTAAATCTATTCAGAGTCCAGCCAAACAGCCACCAGCAGCACAACAAGGCCTCTGAACCCAAACCTCCACAAGTTATAGCAAAAAATCAACCAAAACATCTGTGTGGCACTGTAAGGTAATGGAAAGACGTTTTGGGGAGCGACCCAAACCGCAGGAGGAAGTTACATGTCGATGTTCTCCCATACGTGAAAACGCCGGAGCCTTTGCCAGGTGTCAGCACCAATCGACATGAATGCCGGCGGAGCGTGGCTTGATGGGTTTTGCATGATCCGCTATGCCCCTGAACCCGCCGCGTGAAAGTGATTCGACACACCGGCAGGTAAGGTAGGAAGGCACCGGCACAGACTCACGCGAGCTGCTGACTGCGTGCTCAGACGTTTGGTTGGACTGCACTGTGTGTGCGTCTCTGTGTGATAAACTCAGATTACAGGTCACCTGTTCTCCATTGAACGCCACCATGCGGTATTTACTCCTGACAGGCACGGTTCATTATTGCAAACACATGAACTACAGAGGGGGGAAGGTGTGTGTGTACATGTGTGAGTGTGTGAGTTTTAAAGTCTACAAAATTAAGACAGAAGGAGATGAAAGGCTGGAGATGTCTCAGTCCCCAGGAACGTTCGTCTCCATACAAGCACCATGTTTCTTCTATTGCTGGAGACAGCAAGGCCATAACCTTCACATATTTTAGAATATAAATAACATGGAAAGATGGTGAGCTTTAGGCAAGAGTATCATAAAGCCGTAAAATATGTCAGCTAGCTCATACTGTATTTCTCATCTTTATTCCAGGTATTCACAGCTCTGGTGTAATGTCCACCAGGAAATAGGCGGCTGCATGAAGCTGCTGCTGCATGAAAGCCAAGAATAAAAATGTCTACTGGGGCTGAAGAATGCAAGACAATGACAGGTTTAACTTTGCAAAGCCGCAGGGGAATTTAATTGGGCATATGTTATATAACTTTACATTACATTATACATATAAGTTGTATGGCTAATAATAATATTACTTATGTAAAGCTTTGTCTTAGCAGCATCATCTTGCAATCTCAATGCAGATAAAATGTTATAGTAACGTAAGTAAAGGCCAAGCCTTTGGAAAGGAACTCCCAAGTAGAGCCAACATTAGGAGGTGGGTAAAAACATTCATAGATACTATAATGTAATACTGATATAATAAATAATAAATAAAATATGATATGTACAGTCTATCTATGAAATATACATAGACATACGAATTATGGATACATTGACTGCCAATACAAACACAAGAACTTTTCCATTTATTACAACTTGAGTGTGATTTGTCATAGTTTAGTTTCTATCAGTAATAACAAAATTGGACTCACTCTGCTGATATTTGGTAATGCAGCAAATATGCAAATGGTACATTTACCAATTGCTGTGTTGTCTTGCATGAAGCCAATCACAGCTAACACTGGGCGACAGCCGGGGTTACACCCTGGACAGGTCGCCAAGTCATCAACTCTTCACGCTCACATTAACACCAATTTAGCATCACCAATACTCTGCATGTCTGCATCTGCACACTGCGAAGGGAATTCGAGCAGACTCAGGGAGAACATGTAAACTCCACACAGAACAATTGCCAGCCACAGAAAAGAGACAGAACCTTTTTTACTGTGAGACAACAGCACTAACCACTGCATCACTGTGCAGTCCGCATTGTTGTAGAGTAAATATCAAATTTGCAGATGATAACTTTGCACTTGCTGCACACACACAGTTTTCCTGTGCAATAAGGAACTATTACAGAGATTTCAGGCGTCCTGACTTTCAATTTTTCATTAAAATAAAGTGGTCTAGATAATCTCGCTTAAAGCTTGTTTACCGCTCGTTTAGAACCTGTACGCCCATCTAAACACTGGTCCTTCTTCCCCAGTCTGCTGACATCTTGATATGCGGCAGCATTGCTAAAATAATGTCAAAAACTATGGTCAAGCCTAAAATAAAATATAGCTAAGCAAGATTTCTGAAGCAAGGAATTTTGGGACACTTTCCCTATACAAATGAACCAGGGCCACTTTTGGCCTGGACAGTACTCATGTTCAGACAAGTGTTAAGTTAAAAACAAACAAGAGCCAGAAGAGTGAAGTTTGGATCAGGATATTGTGGATGTTGGCACCGTGATGCCCGGATCATGCACACGTGCAAATATATGTGTGAAGGCACTCGCTTCTACATACACAGAGGAAAGTGACGACACAGGAAGGAGGATCTAATATTATATCAGCCAGAGCCCACAGAGGTGAGCTGTACTGCAGCAGGTGTGGGAGGAGACGCTCCATATTTGTTTATCCTCTCACCACCCTGTCTATAGTGCCATCCTTTCCTCTAAAACAAGCCCTGAATGCCTTACATGCTGATCTAACCATGTCTTTAGTGCAGTTCTATTTCACATGAGTTTATGTATAATCATTTTTATTTCTTTTGGGCCATGTAGCTGGGCTATGTTTGTGCCTATGTAGGAAGTTTGAAACCCATCTGCCCTTTAGGTACTGGAGACATGCAACTGAGACCAACAAAGCCTGCTATGGCTGCAGCAGTAAAATGTGTTAACAATAACACCTTTATCCTCTTACCATGTATGTAAAATTACCTAAAAACGCCTCAAAACAACATTCTGTTCTTCAACCATTTGCAGTATTATATGCATGGTTTTGGGTCTTATTAAAAGATAACACAAAAACAGCTGTTCACTGGCATTTATCTCTATTGGCTCATGTAGATGGACCAATAAATCTTAACTGGAGTGGATACTATTGGACTTTGGGACAAAGAAACAGGAACTGTTTTTGATTGGATTATTATTGATTCCAGGATTGCAATGAGGCTTCTTGGGTTCAGTTGTCTCAGATTCTATGATTGCTTGCTTGCTAGTTTGAGGCCGCCGATTGTGCCTGCTTGTTTGTTGATTGTTGTTGTGATT